CTATAAAATCTAGTTTGAAATTGTATTTGAACTTTGAGCTTTTTTGTTGTTGTTGTTTTGAAGCTTATAATAATTAGTTGTTATTAAGTGCATAGCTACACAATTGGCTATCTGTGCTTTGCCCACCGCGGGTATCGAAACCAGACTTTTAGCGTTATAAGACCGTAATGAGGCTGATTATAATGATTTTTTGCTATTTTTGAATATTATCCAAGTTCAAAGGTTTCAGGTGTGATTTTTATTTTATATAAAAGTATTTGTTTACATTATTTTGTTTCACGAGTTCGTTGTTTGTTATTAAAAATGAAAACGTTTAAAATATTTTTAGCTTATAAACCACACCCCATGGGCACAGCAGTAAGTCTGTAGGCTTATAACTCTAGAAACCGTGCTTTGATATCCATGGTGTGCAGAACACAGTGTAACACACTGTGTAGATTTTTGCTTAACAACAAACACACAGAGGCTTATAAATTGTAATTAATAAACGAGATTCCTCATTCAAATAACTCGTTTATTTTTAGCGCAGGTTGTAGAAAATGAAATATCATGATCTTTTTAGACCTATGGTATAAATACCTATTTGTTATCAGTTGAAATAAATTAAAAAATATTCTATGTCAACCAATATACATAAGGATCTTTCTGAATGATACACAGGATTTGTTATCAGTTGACATTAAATCAAAACATATTTTATGTTAGCCAATAAAACAAAAAAAGAGTCTTCCTGAATGATACACAGGAATTCCTAAGTTAAAAAATATTCTGCGTTAACCAATAAAAAAATAGAATCTTCCTGAATGATACACAGGAAAGCTTCGCAATTATATTTCTAAATTTAGAGTAAACATGAACTATAACGTACAACATGAAATATCAAATAAGTTTGATGACATTCTGTGTAAAAAAAAAAATCATGTACATTTTGTTTTCCACAGGTGGCGAACAACAATCGTCTTCAGTATCCAGTCTTGATTGCTTGTCTCTAATCGTGGAAAGCATCAGTCCCACTTCCGGTAGCCTTATCAAGACCGTCACTATGGAAACGGATCGTCCCGTGTAGCAGAGAAAATTCAGATTGCTTGGTTGTATTTCACAGTATTCACTATATTGGACTTACCAAGCAAGAAAAATATGTTATCAGACTCGAGAAAAAAAAATGTTGGTTGTTTTAAAAATTACAAATGTTATGAAGTATCCTATTCAACTTCTTTATGAGCGACGGTTGAATTTAGTTTCCTTCGGTTTTTATTAACGGGCTCATATTGTCCCATACATAGTGGGATCTTTGTTCTTTTTTTTCAGACATTTGTGGAATAAGATTTTTTTCAGTGACGAATGCCTATGTGAATTAGGCTGAAAAATTTTCATCCGTATGATGGGAAATACATTTTTCAAATGGAACAAAATGATCTCAACAGTGTCCTGGTGAAAATTGAAAGGAAAAATCGTTCACCAATTATAGAAGAGGGAGTTTTTGTTGCAACCATTATCTGTGCAGTCGAGTGCCATTTGATGGATGTATTACTGAGGGTTGACATATCTGGACTTGCAATGGTGAAGATCATAAAAAAAAAATGTGGTGTTATTTTGCGTTGTGAAATGCACTACTTAATCGTGCGGACTTAGATGTGTTTGAAATTTATCTTTGATTTAATATTTTCTTGAGAAACCTAGAAATAATTAAGTGTCAAATGTGAGTACAAATAAACACAAGATCTGAACAACACGAGATTAAATGTAGCTTTTGTTAAATAAGAATCGTGAAAGCCAGTGATTTCATTTTCTGAACTGTAATATCTTACGTTTTCAGCCCAAAAGCTTTACTAATAAAAATTAATCATCACGATCTAAGCAGTAAGTCAGTTCTGAAAGCCTAAATGTTGTTTTCCACAATCAGTTGTATTGTTCGTTATTTTCATTTGTGATGATAGTTGGAGAAAGGTTTGCCTTTTCTCTACATGGTGCTCTTCTCGATGGAACCAACGGACAGTTTGATGTTTGTTTAATATATCTGTCACCTTAGAGCCAATCTTTGTAAATATCCTATTTTAACAGCTATAGTTACTTAAAGGCACGAGATCCTTTTTTCTGCTTTTGTTTTGCTGACCGCCTTTACACATCGTAGATTGATAAGTGTCTTCTGAACTGTATAGTAAAATCATGATAAATAAAGACCAAACTGGTGCTTTATGAAACATTTCAGTACCATTCTGTGTACAACAATGCTCAGTAGAAGTGCAATAAATCGTATACTTTTAAATCAGTATTTCTTGTGAGATTTGTGTTTAGTAGAAAGATTCATGTTACAAAAACTTTGAATATGTAATAGTTTGATATTCATCCACTAGCTTTCACCTCGTCGAGTTCAAATATGTGTTCGCATTTACTGCTTTAGTTCTTGTAAAATACGCAGAGTGTCCACGTGACATAAGACACAATTATATATTATGAAGTCCTTCAACAGAGACAACCGAAAAGATAAAGAGCGAATAATTAAAATAATTTTCTTTGAAAAAAGGCAATGATTTATGGAAATGACTGCATATTATATATATATATACACATCACATTTATTCTCTAGTTATTGTTAAAAAGGTGTCCATTAAGAACATTCCAAATACAAACTCATGAAACATAATAGAAAAACGGTGACATTATACCAGCTTGGTTTTTAAACTCACTCGTATTACACGCCCACATAGAATCTATGGGTCTAATATATGTATTCAAAGTAAAATTCACACGTGGGTGATTTATAAAATTACAATAGATAACTTAATATAACTTAACTTCTGGAATTTTGAACCTTTATGCGTCCATTTCTATCAGAAATCAAATGATTTTAACAACTTTCTTACACTGAGTGTTGTTGCTGTTTTTCCATCTAAACGTTTTTATTTTGTCTTTATTGTGAACATCCATTTATTTACATATATATATATATATGTGTGTGTGTGTGTGTGTGTATAAACGTGTCTTCACAACTCGATATCCTTACTATCATTACACAAGTATTTAATACCCATCCACATAGGTGGAATCTTGACACTACGAGTGGTGATAAGAATATCCATCAGTATGGTATGGCCATCACCGGCCATACACAACATCCATCACAAAACCTTTTGTATCAAGCATGAATCCATAAAAACGTTGTTTTCTATACTGTTAAACAAAACCGCATTTTACATCTGAAACAACTTAATTTCGGGTATTTTCATCAAAACGTCTTGATGTGTTTATTGGTCTGGTTTTCTTTGTGTTTGGAACTCTCTTCACCTTACTGTAGATTACTAAGTGTGACGCTCTTAAGCAAATGTCTGGAAGAAATGTTTAAAGGCTTTAACTTATTTAAGTTACTGTTCAGTTTAAACGATATGATTGTCATTGTCTTTAACGTTCTAGAAAATCTTGATCAATTAAAAGCTAACCTGATAGACTATATAAGGCTCCCTGCTCTTAGTATTCTCCCCCTCCCAGTAGCACAACGGTATGTCTGCGGACTTACAACGCTAGAAACCGGGTTTCGATACCAGTAGTGGGCAGAGCACAGATAACCCATTGTGTAGCTTTGTACTTAACTACAAACAAAAAAAACCTTAGTCTTTATACTAGACGCTTGGTACGTAACATACTGAAAATATAACGCAAGTATCGTAGGTACGGTTTAATTAGCTTTCGATTTAAAGTCGCTACGAGAGGGGAATAAATGTTGTTCGCTTTTATTCTAAACTGATCGTTTAGAATCATGATTTTAATTGGCGTTAAACGTCTTTGATTTAATTATTTAATGTCAATTCTTTCGATCAAAAGTGCCCCCAGTGACACAGCGGTATGTCTGCGGACTTACGACGCTAGAATCCATGTTTCGATACTCGTGGTGGGCAGAGCACAGATAGCCCATTGTGTAGCTTTCTGCTTAACTACAAACAAAACAAAACAAACAATCAAAAATAGAGCTTATTTTTCCGTAAGTATGTTGCTTGTAGCATATTTGTTTCGTTCTTAAATAAGAAAAATAAAAATTATTTTATATTAATTTAACAAACTTCGTCTGGTGTATATTTCCACGTTTTGTATACGAGATAAGCTGTAATCTTTAGTGGAATTGTTCTATTAGCTGTAGACATTGTCCTATATTGAACTATAAGAATATGTAGTCATAATGGAAGACCTAATAATTACTGATCTAATAAGGCGTGACACTTCCTTGCCCTGTTCAACAGTTGCTATTTTATTATCGTAAACAAGTTACGACAGGTATCTGTTGTAATCCTTCGTTTCATAAGTTTAGCTGGTCCGGCATGGCCAGTTGTCTATTATGTTTTTATTCGTACTGCCAAAATTGTTGTGATTTTCATACAGAGATTTATTGTTCCCAAAGAAAAGTTGACACAGAGTATTATAGAATCTTCCTCATACATCTGAGGGTCGCGGGTTCGAATCCCCATCACACCAAACATGGTCGCCCTTTCAGTCGTGGGGGCGTTATAATGTGACGGTCAATCCCACTATTCGTTGGTAAAAGAGTAGCCCAAGTGTTGGTTTTACACTGCTAAACTAGGGACGGCTAGCGCAGATAGCCCCCGTGTAGCTTTGCGCGAAATTCAAAACAAACAAACAAACAATCATAAGTTTAGCTAGTCGATGGCAGTGGTATAATATTATCTACTTCGCTTTAACACAAAATATTCTTTATCGTTATCTAATCGAGTTATTCCATTAATTGATATTATTGCTTTCAAACCAAGCATGACGTGATTTATGGTAGAAGTCATTACCATACAGAGATAACACGTTAGCATAATACTGACTAAATACTCCGACGTGGTCCTTATAAACATGTCACTTTAAGACATACTGTTATCCGATAAGTCGTAAATCCAATAAACGCCATCACTACAACGGTGGTACGACATAATCAGAAGGCAATTGTCCGCCTGCGTATCCTGGATCCATTATTCACCATATTGTTGAAACTAGAGAAAGAAACTTTCGTACTTCCAAATTATTCACAACCCAATTATCCAGATTTCAAACGGTGCCTCTTATTCTTAAGGTGATGTTTGGCTGGCTAATCCAATCAAAAAGGGCTTTTACAAAAAAAAAAACATGCTCCACAGCCCTCACAGATGGTGCCCGTTCACTTCTTTATATGTGACCCAATAAAGTTACTGTGTCTTGGTTGCAAATACGATTTATATAATGTTTTTCATAATTCTATCAAGTGAAATTTCCAAAAGCACTTTCACCCATTTTAAGTTATCATTAACGGTCGTAAGCATGGTTCATCGTGTATGACTATGTATTAAGAATGTTTCACATATCCACACTTTAAACAGCCTGTAATCTTATCTCACTGAAATTTGTATAACTTATGATATTTTGGAATCTTACACTTTTTTGACACTACAGATTTAACCACGTGATATGTGTCTGTATTTATATTTACCGAATTACTTTGTAGGGCATGATGAGTGGAACATGTTATATGATAAGTGTTCTCCCATTCTTTTGCAAAGCAATGTATGGAATAACTAAACACATAGACTGACTTACTTGGCGAACACTTATAACTTGTCTAATAGGCATATTATCGTTAAAATTTGCATAATATCGAGTTAGATATGTGAGTCAGATGCCATTAATGATATGAATAAATGTATGAATATAATAACATTTAAGCCTAATATAAATTGCTTGCAATAATTTACTAGTTTATTGATGCTGACTGAAAAAATAGAAAAGAAAATAGATGAGTCTAGCTACTCAAGTGATAGTAGTCTTTATTTTTGACTAGAGGGAAGACAGCTGGTCAACATCAACAATTGTTGACTTACTCTTTTCTGACCGAATAATTGGATTTAATCTTATATCTCACCTACGACCCCTGAAGTTTGGAGCATTCTTTATTGAATATTATTAATTTTTGAGGTAATGGAACGCGAACGCTTGAGTCGCAGATCCGGCACTCTAACCATTAGGCCACGCTTCGTCTGTTCTATTATAGTTGACTTACGTTATGTTCTTGTAAATAAGTCATTTTCAATCATCTTCTGGAGCATCGTACACCAAATTGCTTCAGTTTTTACCAAATTTATGGAGGGCAAATTATATAATATTAGTGATAATCCATGCCCTCACTGAAATACAAATTAAAATTATGCACGTTTAATAATTTCCACGATGGTATTTTGGGAGACAAATGCTTATTTATGTTGTAATTTGAGTAGAAAAAAGAAAAAAAGAAGCTATTTCTGGCGTCTAGTTGATTCGAGATTTTTTCAGACCTGGGAGGTAGTTGAGTCTATTAATTACTTCATACATATTACAAGTAATTTTCATAGCGTCTAATATAACTTCCATTTTTTTTAAATAATTCAGTAAATAGGCTTGTAAAATGTTTTCAAATCGTAAATCATGAGTAATAAAGAGTAAAAGACGTTAAAGGATGCAAATGGGCATCGATTGAAAGCAGTTTTTAGGTTGTTATACCGAGGGTTATTTGTCTACAAAAAGAGAAATAGAAAAGGCATTTTTCTGAATTCTGTCTGACATACTAATACTCAACACTCCAAAAGAGTGAGCAACAGCAAACATAATATTTTTAATAAAGCAGCATTCACGTAGAAGTTTAAACGGTAAATAATGCTTAGTTTAATTACGATATTCTTCAGTGTTAGTTTATTTGGTGAAAAAATTATGAACAAATATCTTGCATAGTCGTCCCTAATTTTGAGAGATTAGAGAGGAGGCAATTAATCAACAGCACTTCCAGCCAACTTCGAGCTATTAGGATACTAAAAGTTTGGCCGTCACTGTTAATAGTGGCCCCAAAGTTCGAAGTGTGATTTTGTGGTAACAGAACACGAGCTACGAATCTTCGGAATTTCAAACCGGCACGTTAACTACTGACCACGCATGGCCCTATACGAAGTTGATACTATAAAAAAATTTCGGCGTATCGCTAGCTTAGTGATTAAGGAGTTCGTCTCGGAACTTAGAAATCGCGAAATCAAATCGGGCCACCTTGATCTACACAATATAATGTACGCCGCGTTTAGCGTGGAAAGAGGAGATCTTAGACTATTAGCCAGACCTTTAGACCTGGTGGTTAGGGAACTAAACTCACAACCTGAGGGTCGCGAATTCGAATCCCGTCACCGAACATGCTCGCCCGTTCAGCCGTGGAAGAAATTATAAAGTTATGGTCAATCCCATTATTCGTTGGTAAAGAGTAGCCCAAGAGTTGGCGGTGGGCCTTTC